TTTCGGTCCGATTTTGCACTGTTTTCTATGGGCGCGTATTTGGTGTAGAACAACCATAATGCCCACAGGACGCAAATAACGGTGTGCTCAACCTTGTTCCCATGGGTACGATCTTGCCACGCCATGTTGGTTCCCACCATGTCTTGCGAAGCCACAGATTTAACCGTAACTGTAGTTTCGAAATGTACTTTTTCAAATCGTTTAAAATTGTGGTTTTAATTGCAATGCCTTTTCTCCTCTGTAAACAGCCAAATAATTAATAACGCGGATAAAGTGCGGCCTCAGCAAAAGATTTTGCTCATAAGATGAATAGATGACCTTCAGCGTGGTTGAGGGAATTATCACGGCGAAAGATGGTGGCGTGTATGTGGTTTGCAAAATATCCCAGCCAAACTCGAAGAATCTCCCCATCTTTGTCGATGTTGTGTCTCATGGGTCATGGTCTGTGCAACGTACGGAGGGTGTGGCTATTGACACGAATCCCAACAATTTTAGCCAGGAGTGCAGGTCAGGCCAGGCCAGGATGGGCAATGCCAAATCGGCAACTGAAGCTTATAGGGCACACGTTGAGTATTGCTTGTTTCGCCGTTCGTCATAGAATACGCTTCTCTTACGAAAGAGTGTACTTCAATATACAACGATAAGGTTTGCATTCAAACCGAGGGAGCTAACTTCGAGCAGAAGTTGATATTGCAGCCAGCACTACTCAAGAGCCATGCGTGCCCGGTGTGGAAGACGTGGCGTGTTCGCGCACTGTTTTCTCATACGTTGTTGTAACCAAAGTTGTAACGTTAAGCATGCGTATCAAGTATTCATTTTGAATGCGCACCAACCGAGTTGAAGTCAGAACGTGGTAGCAAGTGTGTGCTCTATTACGCTCTCCCGCATCCATTTCTCTCACCTCCACTTTCGTAGAGTGCAGTTTACTTGTCTTTAATTTAGCCGCGATGACTCAGACTGAACGGGCACTCAACATTTTGGGAATATGGGATTCCGCCTTACAACACCAGCAAAGTAGATTTTAGTTCCAAGTCCTTCATTACTTTATTCACTTTGAAAATGGATGGTAAAATTAGTTTTTTGAAGCGGCAGGGTTGTCCTTCACCGACAGTGTGGTTGGAAAAGGTCACAAATAGGGTTTATGATTTATGCAAGTCAGACAAATCTTCAACCTTTGTAGGCCCTATTTAAAGATACCATGGCTTAACTGCTTAGAGTCAATGGGTTTTGTCTATTTAATATGAAATCGTGTACGACCACATCCTATGATTTGTGTTGAAAGAGGCTTTGGTTTATTTTCCAACATGTTTATCTTATTAAAACGAAGTTTTAATAAATATTTGCCCAAGAGGTTATTGATGAAAGTAATTATCGATTGTGTGAATTGGTTGAAATAAATAATTTTGCACAAATTTTTCCACATTTTTTTTCGTGAACGTACTACACTTGTACTTGGAGTTGTCAGTCTACTTGGCCATCGTAGACAAGTAGTGCTTTTTCTTCCAGTGGTAAACATGGTGGTTCTGGAGTGACATCGCTAATCGTCAATACTGACGTCGATATTTGCAACCAAATTTACGACCCACTCTTTGGTCACAAATATTGACGCCAATTTTCAAGACCAAATTTACGACTCGCCCTCTGGTTACGAATACTGCCGTCGCTTGTTGTATCTCCGGTCGCAAATATTGCCGCGAATTTTTTCTAGCAAGCCAGGTAGAGAGAATTTGCTCGGCTATAGACACAACAGTTGCTTTTTAACGTTGTGCCCTCTGCGTTGTGCCAAAACTGGCCAGGTGCATGAATGACGGCTTCAGATCAAGCCGAAACGTGTAGGTCATTGCGCGTGCGCGCCCGTGCACACTTCATTTTCACCAAGCATGTTGGGGAAAAAATTCGCGGCAATATTTGCGACCGGATATACAAAGAGTCGTAAATTTGGTCGTACATGTTGACGTCAATATTAACGATTGGCGATGTCTCTCCAGGGCCACCATAGGATACAGAACCACTGAAGGAAACCATATACTTCACGTATAAGGAGTGCTCTCTCTGGTACGTACAACTCCCCCAGATGATGGTTCCCAGGTACGCTCACCGTTTGGTGCTTTTCGTTTTGATATACAAACTATACGGTTTAAAGCAGGAATGGGTCTAACTTTCAGGAAACGGGGGGTTGATGGCGTACTGAAGGGATGGATGCGCTGCTATTTAAAAAGGTCATAGGCTAATCGGGGCTTCCTGCGAGGACGGGAAGTGTGTGCAAAAGCTCAACTCTCTCTCAAGGATACTGGGTCACTTAACGACCTAATTTAAACATCTACCTGGAAAATTACAAGGTAATTCCTTCCTTTAGTACAAGCCAACCAATGAACAACCAAAGTAGGGTTGTTTTTTAATTGTTTGCTTTTAAGAAGGACGGCATCAAGTTCTGACGGGGACAACGAGGATCATACCCAGGAAAAAGAGATTATTTTAATTCAACTTATTATAATAAGAGAAGAATGATCTTTTTGACAGTTTTTTTTCTTTCCTACGTGCTATAACCCCCCCTCCAAAAAATTGTTACTCAATTCTTAAAGACCGTAAAGGTTACGTATAATGAACTTACACTGGCGTATATTCTCCTCGGCGTAAATTGCAACTTTGGAAATTAAAAAAAGAAAAACATGTACACTTTGGTCCCTCCAACCAGTGCTATTCTAAATCTGGCCGTGGACTGCATTCAGGTGAACGGTGAATTTCCTATGAAGGTCAATAGCGCGCTGTTGTTTGGGAGTTCATGAACTATAGGGTGAATACCGGCCTATTGTGCGGAGCTAGGGGACTTTGTACGTGTCCTAGTACTGTAGTTATACACAGTGTCAGTGGTGAACCTTTGGAACAGTTTGGAAAGTTAAGATTTTGCCACAAAATATGTCCAGAATTTGGCTTGTTCTTGTGGTCCTGTCCACCTTCCTGCCGTTGTTGACGGCTACTCCATCCGCAGAGACAAGCCAAGGCACAATCGTGGGCAAAACGGTGGAGTTCACAGCTGGCCCCCTGGGACTCCGCAGGAGCGTCGATGTGTACCTGGGCATACCGTACGCAGAGCCGCCTGTCGGCCCGCTCCGGTTCAGAGCCCCTGTGGCTAAGGCGCCGTGGAGCGGGGAGCTCCGGGCCACTTCTTACGGGAGCGTTTGTCCCCAGCCCTCGGACAATCTCTTACCGGTGCCGAGGCCCGATGTGCCGCAAAGCGAGGACTGCCTGTATCTTAACGTATTCGTTCCATCCCGGTCGAAAACAGTAAGTGCTCTTATCAGGTGCCTGGTTACGTTCAACATTAACTGTAAACGTAATTTGAGTGAAGTATTAGATCTATACTAAATACAATTCAGTGACGTACGATAGGGAACAAGGTAAACACCTCCTCAGATTTGTTGCTTTGGGAAGTACAGCATTTTTAATGTCGGGATTGAGCCTAAACTATTTGCAAAAACTTCATTTCAGCCACTGGTGACATGAGTTTGTCCGTAAGGTTTTAGAAATTTGCCGATTATTTGTTTCTTTCCCTTGACCAAACACGATTATTGATCGTAGGATTGGATGCTTTTGAGTTAAGGGCGAAGAGGGATTTTTTTGACTTTTAGTTAAACGCTTGAATGACTTCCATGGAATGGATTGTGCAGTGACCCCATTCTCATCCTCACACAAATTCCCACTCGCTAAAAATGATCCCCTTGTTCTCTTATTTAAGACAGGCCAGCTTTCAGCTGTCATGTTTTTCATCCATGGCGGCTCCTTCATTTTCGGGGCAACGTGGCCAGACAACATCCCGGTAGCATTAGCCAGTATCGGCGACGTCATCGTGGTGGACATCCAGTATCGACTGGGGGCGCTGGGATTTCTGGCAACAGGTTGATAAAATGAACATCCAGTGACCCGTGACTGGCATAAGAAATTGTGGAAGCTACCTTTCATCTGGGATGCCGCGCCCCTTTGTCCACATCACGCCCTCCCCCAGCGGCGTATCCAGCTTTTGGTTTCAGGGGAGGGGACTAATTCAAAAGCGAATGCACCTTCAAGCTCATTCAACATGATGTTAGGGGACATAAAATATAAAACGCGTTATTCGCGCGGTCCCGACATGTTTGCTTTTATTTCGTGGTGTTGTTTTCGAAGGGGTTCGGTTTGAATATTTTACAAAGTGTACCGATAACTTTCTTTCCTACTAAACTATTATGAAGTACTATTGGTGAAAAAAACAAATCTGTCGGGTGGGGGCACGTTTCCCCTTCCCCCGCCCCAAAGATGCCCCAAACCGTTGCCCCAAAGATGGATAGTTCGAACCATAATACATGTATAGCCGATCATATAGAACAAGGCCGGCCCTTGGGGCGTAGTTGCATTACGGGTTAGTGAATTAATTTCTCAATACGGAGGGATCCGTTCCCTTGAAAACAATCGAACGATATGTCAATTACCATTTTGCTTCGAAAGTTCCAGCCAACAGCAAAATGTGTTTGATGATGCAATTTTATGAAATAGTTCGACTCGGGTCGTATGATCGTATACTGCTCG